GAAAGACCTAGTAGGACACCACGGTAATTGTAGACAACCGAGGTAGCCCGCTAGACTTGTGCAACGTGGATTATGCCACTAGAGCCGCCAGTTTCCTCTCTGCTCAGATACTGTATCGTCGAGACTTAACTCAGATACTAAGATCATTGAGTTAGATGCAGCCAGACAGGGTAGTGTGATTTGTGCCCCAACCAATTGGTGATATCTAAAGTGTCTCCTGAACAGGACTTCGAGCCATAGAAACCTGTCTCTATGCGGGTGAGCGTGGAACAATGTAAATGACTTAGTAGCTGATCGGCATGCAGGAGATCGCAACCTCCCGATTATAGTTGTAGTATGGTCTCGTGGGAGAGTTGTCAACTAACCTCCACGGATGATGTTCAGAGAGCGATACTGATTCAGATTTAGCTACACTATCCCCTCAGTTTTACTGGTGAGGTCGCGCCTCATCCCAGGACACTGATCATCCACCGCATAAGATAGGCAAGCCTCATAAGTTGTAGAAAATAGAGTTGTTACTTAGTTAGCACTTCCTAAAACTCCGAGACAAGGTCGTAGATACCTATTAAGATAAGGTTGCAAAAAGAGTCTACAGTTGGTTGTTTACTGAGTATTTAAAACTCATTCCTTTCTTTCTTTATTTCTTTTTTTTTTTTTTTCTTTTCAGGTGAGTGATGCCACTGATCAATATAGGAGTGCGCGCAGGCGTCTTAAAACCACATAGGAGTGTCTCGGGGCATCTAGGAGTCTATACATATCATGAATAGTTACTTCACACATTTTATTTTGATGGCAATTCTTCTTCTTAATTGCTAACATTTTTCAGTAATTTCCTCTTGTCAATCTCTTTTTTAAATGTTTTTGTCCACTAGCTTAGCCCTTGATTTTGAGTCTCAAATTTTGGGTTGTGGCAATTCATGTCAAGCAACATATTACATCCTTCGACATATCATATAGTTGACATATCGTATCCTTCCACGTACTATATCATAACATGTAATATACTCACCTTAATTTCCTTAAATAAGAATCAAAACATTTGGGTTCCTTTCTTGAGAAATGAAATTAGGAAATAGATAAAAAAAGATAGTATAGGGAGAAGTTTTATGTTTAAGGTAGTAAAAGTGGCCGGGAGTAGTGTGGAAGAAGAAGCGAAGACGAAAGGGTTTGAAGAAGGAACAAATTTTGTATAAGAAATTGAAGCAACTGTCCTTACTTTTACTTTATTATGTTACATGATTGGGAAAGTGACTAAAGAAAAAGAATACAAACTTTATGACCGGAACAAGAAAAGAAAGAAAGAGATATAAGTTAATATAAAATAGATTTGGGTTAGCGATGGCAAACAAAACAAGAAACTAAGACCCAAAGAAGATATGGATCTGTCCAAGCAGAACAAAGAGTGCTACATTTTAGCGATGAGGGGAGAATGGGATAATCTGGGCAAGGTATGTAAGGAAGCGTGGAAGCTGGTGCTTCCGATCACTGGCAGTGGAGACACGTCGCTGCATTTGGCAGTGCACAGTGGAAAAGAAGAACCTTTAAAAACCTTTCTTGCGCAGGTGATGGAGATTGAGTACACATTGTATTGGAAGAGCTTCGCTGAAAACACACCTCTACATGAAGCTGCCACTGTCGGGAATTTGGGTGCTGTTAAGCTCTTGGTTGAGTTAAGGAAGGAGGATTTGTTGGAGATGAACATTAGGGGTGAAACGCCTTTGTATAGGGCAGCCAGATATGGGAAACTCGAGATCGTTGAATATATTTTGAATGAATGTGAAGATTATTACACTCGATCTCCCCTAAATTGGATGGCAAAGGGTACTCCAATCATTCATGCAGCCATTCAAAGCGAGAACTTTGGTTAGTGTCTCAGTTTTTGTTACCATAATTGAAGCTAATTCAAAGTTTTAATACCTAAAATTCAAAGCTTTTATTGCAGAGATGGTTATGATGTTGGTGGATTTCGACAAGTCACTGTTGGAGATGAAGGATTCAAAAAACCAGACGGCTCTCCACGTGCTGGCCAATATGCCACACATTTTTGAGAGTGGATACCTGAAGGGATTTTGGGCCAAATTGATCTATGATTGTAACAATGTTCTTCCTTCTCTTCTTTTCTCAACAATGATTGTAAGAATTTCCTTTTTTAACTTCTTAATTTTTTTTCTCTTATCACATCACAGGGCTGCCTGAGGACAAGATTTACCCATTTAATTTTTTTAAATTTTGCTCTGTGAACCACAATGACTCTACAAGTTCAAGTACCCACCTCGAGATTTAGAAGCAGGATTTGTCGCTAAACATAAACATAATTGGTGTTCTAGTTTGGGTAACTTCTCTTTTTTTTAAAGTATTTACTTTTAATAAATATTTTTAAAAATAATTTACCAAATGCATCATATTTATATTTTATGCTGAAGATTGTTAGAAGGGAGTTCTACTTACCCTAATTTACTCATAAGGAATACATCTATGAGACCTTTGGAGAGCCCAAACCAAAATCATCAGAGCTTAAGTTTAAAGTGGACAATATCACACCATTGTGGAGAGTCGTGATTCCTAACATTTTAAACTCTTAAAAACCGAAAAGTCTTAATCTTACTCGTATTCAATCAAAAACAATGCGTGGCAGGTACAAATGTTAGACAAAGTTTGAAGAGGTTGGTCGGGAGATTAATCATGCGAGGTCTTCTTTCTCTAACTCTAAAACATGTTTTTAACGAGAAAAAAAAAATAGTGTATATATATATATTAATTATGACATTTAAAACACAGGGTGGCCTAAATGCAGAGATCTGTACAAGAATAAGCAAAGACATAAATTAATTCTAAGAATCACTGAAATGCTAGTGGACATAGAGTTGGACATAGATTTGTCATGTTGCCGGAAAAAACAGGAGCTCGACAGCATTCATGTTAACGTATTAGAACTAGCAAAAGACCGATGGTAAAAATATTGAATACATGGACTACCATGAGACGCCATTGTTACTGGCCGCAGCCAGGGGAATAATAGAAGTGGTTGAAAGGATCATCAAAGCCCACCCACAGGCTGTGGACTACGTGACAACAAACGACAGAAACATTCTACATGTCATCATTGCACACCGACAACTCAACATCTTTGAATGGATTCAACGCCGAGATCTTATCTTGCACAGACTGGCCAAGAGGATCGACGTGTTGGGCTACACAGTATTGCACCATGTTGGAATCACTAAATTCCTCAATCATTCCACCTTTGGTCCAGCAATACAGCTTCAAAATGAGATTGACTGGTTCGATCGCGTCCATGAAATGATTCCGCACCCATACAACATGCATTATAGCAAAGACGGTTGGAAACCCCGTGAGTTCTTTGATGAAACTCACCAGGATATGCTTGATAAAGGCAAAGAATGGATCAAGAAAACCTCCGAGTCTTGCTCTGCTGTTGCTG